TGGGATATGATGGCACCAATGAGAGATTTAAAGAAAATAGTCATATAACTAGCTGTATCCTTTTATCTTTGAATACAACTCACTTAACTTGTTATTTGGACTGAATGAACCAAATAAACTGATTTTTAAAGCAAAATTATATAGATGTGTTTGTGTTCAATGGTGACTTCCTGTGTAACAGAAATTAGTGTAGCCCAGTCCTGTGCCACCTTCATGATCCTTGGTATGCTTGAGCTCATTGGTGCTTACCATTGCGCTAATCCATCTCATCAAGGATTTTCCTCACCTTTGCTGGTCCTCCACTCAACCGAACACCATTTCCTCTTGCTGACATGTTCAAACAATGTCAGTTGCAGTCTTAGACAATATTCTGTGATCCATAGGATTTTCATTGGCTAATTTTTTGGATTTAGATTACCAGGCCTTTCTAGTTTTTCTTAGTCTTAGTCTGAAGGTTCTGCTGGAGCCTGTCCATCACAGGTGACTCTGTTGGTATTTGAAATACTTGTGGCATAGTTTCCAGCATTGCAGCAACCACAAACATCTACACTGTATTGTATGACAAAGTGACAGATGAGGGTGAGTTTCAAGGGCACCCACCATTATATCAAAGACTTGGTGGCTCAGGAATAGCCTGATCCTTCTCGGGACACATTGCCAGTTTTGCATGCTACTTACTAATAGTTTGTCACCTTAGTTTGATACATAGAATCACCCCTAAGGGATAGGAATTGAGCCCCAAGGCAAGGGCCTGAGACAGGATTGCCGTATTCATTAAGCAAAGTAAAACCTATGTGAAATTGTTCAGTATGGATTAGTAAATAAGCACAATTACTTCTGTGCTTACCTTTCTTCCTGTGTACTTCATTCCTGCTAGGGATTGTTTTAGAAAACAGGCTTGTTTTGATTCTATAGGAATGAGTTGGGAGAGAGGCAGATATGTCAGATATACCTAGAAGTGGAATCTTTGATGTGGAGATAAAAGTGAAGAATTTCACAACTGATGAGTAGGTAAGCGTAAGTAATCTTGTGCTTATCTTGCTTATTGGATAATCTGATCCAGGAAGGAGAGGGCCTGTTACTAAGCAGTCAGGCAGGAATACAGAAACAGGATGAGAACAAAGTCTACAAGCTTAACAAAGATCAGAAAGGCAAAAGGGCAAGCTAGAGTCAGGGTGAAGAGCTGGTCTCAAAGCTAGGTGGATAAGACATGAAACACCAACACGTGTGTGTGTGTGTGTGTGTGTGTGTGCTCCAAACAAGATATAGGAAAAAGAAAACACCAAGGAAGCAAAAAAAAGCACACCACAGGCAGATAAAACCCTTATGGATCCACAGAACAAGGACACCTGATTCAAATCATTGCAGCCTCAGTTGAAGAGCAGCACATTCATTTCTTCTTAAGTGTTAATGAAAAATAGTTCTTGAATCAATTTATAGAAATGTAATATCATTCGTCTGTTCACTGTTGATGATACTACACTGAAAGCGCTTGATTAATTTCTTAAAGAAAATACCATAATACTTCATATGCAGAACCTTAATCAAACTAAACTCATGCCATTGAGTTGATGCCAACTCAGAGCAATCTTATAGGATAGGGTAGAAATGTCCCCATGAGTTTCTGAGACTGGGAGTAGAAAACCCAGTCTTCTTCCCAAGAGTAGCTGGTGGTTCTGAACTGGTAATCTTTGAACTGCCCAACTTATAACCACTACTCCATCAGGGCTCCTTTAATATCTAGAAGGTCGGTGAAAATGAGGACTAACCTGAAGAGATGGATTGATACAGTGGCTTCAGCCAGGGGCTCAAATATAACAACACTTAGGAGGGTGTTGGAGGATTGAGCGGCTATGTTCTGTTTTACATGATTGCTATGAGTTGGAACCAAATCAATGACACCTAACAATAAAAATAACATCCTGAAAGTAGCTTGAGATTCAAGCTGATGTCTCTAAACCAGTGGATCTCAACCTTCCTAATGCTGTGACCCTTTAATACAGTTCCTCATGTTGTGGTGACCCCCAACTATAAAATTGTTTTCGTTGCTACTTCATAACTGTAATTTTGCTACTGAATCGGGCCACCCCTGTGAAAAGGTCATTTGACCTCCAAAGGGGTTGCAACTCACAGGTTGAGAATCGCTGCCTAAGTCAAAGCCTCCGGGGCCCACCTTTGATGAGAATACTCCTGTCTATTGAGCAGCATGTGTATATAAGGGGGCTTTAAAAGGCTCCTAGGAACATTCCATTATTTAAAATTCCATTTTTCCACAAACATTTTGGAACCTCCTTGTATATATTAATGGAGATTTAAAAAGTGGCTAAAGTGCTCAGGCACTAACTTCAAGGTCAGTCAATTGAACTCTTCAGTTGTTCCGTGGAGAACAATGTAGCAGCCTAATTGCATAAAATTACAGCTTTGGCAACCCTTTGGGCAGTAAATCGACATTGTCTTTTAGGGTCTCTATGAATTTAAACTAACTATATATCAGTAGCTTGGTTTAGTTTGCTTTATAAGTATGAGGGGGTTCAAAAATTCATGGAAAATTTTCTTAACTTTTAATTCTGTTTTTCTCCCCTTGAAAGTTTTTGTAGCTCTCCTTGTACTAACATTTCTGGAGAAGAAGTGGCTTCTTTGAGTAGTGCACGGATCTTGAACTATCTTTTGCATTATTATCTAAAGCCTATCCTTATAAGGAGAGAAAAACCAGTTCATTTCTATCAGAATAACAATATCTGCATTAATAAGTTGTCACTGAACATCGATGCAAAAGCATTTCTCAACAGAGTGGCATGTTAGCCATACAATAGCTGATCTCCATAACACTGTAATGACTGAAGATATGTGGTTTCAGTTGATAAATTATGCAGCTGTCTTGAAAAGTCTCTACTTCCTTGTTCTCTATCTTGAAGTCTCAGATCCTGGAAAGCAGGAAATTGTGTTTGTCTAATATTGATGCTTGGTACCTGCGTGATTCCTTGGACAAAAATATTTTTTAAAGTGCCCTTGAAAGTGACAAATTTTAAATGTCTCACCTGACCATAGCTCCAGCTTCTATTCTTGATGGCCTTGAAGTCTCCATGGAAAATAACACCAATGTCGTTCAAGACATATTCTTCTCGTTCTTTCTCATCATCCAGATAGACAGCATCCTCTGCAGGGAGATTTAGACACAGTGGCCATTACTAGGCTAAAACGGTTTTCAAATACTTACAGTTAATTTTTCCCTTAAATGGTAATTTAATTTGGCAACTGCATGGCAAAAAGGTCTTTTGTTTCCCTAAGCAGATAATTTCTCAGTATGTAATTTGTACAATGGTGGACACTATCAGTACCAAAATTCAATCTGCACATGATGTCTGATGCAAAATGCTGACAAACCAGGTGTTTCTTTTCAAGTTTTATGCAGAACAATTAAATTAACATGTTTCATTATACGACTTTGTAATTCTAGTGCACTTATAGTTTCAGAATCAGAATTCTATGATGCAGACACACAGATTAAACAATTATTTCCTACCTATTAATGCTAATAGAAAACTAGCTGAATTGGAAATTATTTTGAAAACAAATTTGGGGCACACTGCAAAATAGTCATAGCCAACTCCAGCTTCTCGAGACTGCATGTGTATAGAGCAGAATTGCTCTAGAGGATATTCAAGCCTGTGGCCTCTCAGAAACAGATTGCCCGTCCTTTCTGCTAAAGAATCAATGGATTAGTTAGCAGCCTAGTGCAAGCCCTCTGTGCAACTCAGAGCCCTACACTGAAAGGCAATACTCTTCTTGCCTGGTTCTTTGAC